ATAGTAAAAAAAAAACAAAACAAAAACAATCCATATATTCAGTTAAAAGTAAACATTTAAAATAAGATTTGATAATTCCCAAAAGTTTAGCTGAGGGAACTCGGACACTTTCTACATAATCAATGCCCAGATCAGAAGAAATAAACCGCAGTATCTTGTTAGTCGTTTTTAATAAAACTTGTATGAAAAAGTGGTTGCTGCCCAAATAGAGAACTACATATATATATATATATATATATGTGTGTGTGTGTGTGTGTGTGTGTGTGTGTGTGTGTGTGTGTGTGTGTGTGTGTGAAAGTGTATATAAATATAAATAAATATATATATGTATAATTATTTATATATTATATGCAGTATTATTAGAAAGCGCTCGATACCAGAGATAGAGCTAACATATTTGTGACCTGGGTTTCACGCTTTAGCGATCGTCAGGTGAAACCCAGGGTCACAAAACTCACATCTATCCAACCAAATATATATATATATATATATATATATATATATATATATATATATATATGATAGAAATATGTTAGCTCTATCTCTGATATTGAGCTCTTTCTAATAAGTATCGCGCATATAATATATAAATAATTGTATATATATATATATATATATATATATATATATATATTTATATACACACACTTTTCACATATATATATATATATATGTTTTGAACAACAAAAATATTGAAAAATTACATTTTCAGACACACTGGCTTGTATATTAATTTTTTTTCTTTTATTATTTCATGGCCATCACCAGCAGAAAAAAAACATGCTTGTTAGTAGCAATAAACTAAAGGAACAAATGACTTTCTGAAGAAAATGAGCATTTTCTGTAGTTTTCATTTGTTTTTGTTTTTTTATGGTTAATTTTGAGCAGTCCTTCTGTTGTTTTTGAGATAGAGGCTGGATAGATTGATGCGACTATGAAATCACTTGTTCATTTTGATAGTACACGCACACACACACACACACATACGCACATATATATATATATATATATATATATATATATATATATATATAATTTTATTTAATTTAAGGACATTAAATCAAAACCATGTTAAAAATCTCTACATAGCTGCAATTATGTTTCAACACTACAAATGCGTCTCCTCGGCTGACGGTAAACTACTGGCAAGTGAACGATTATTTTAATTTTCAAAAGCCGAATACTTCCTCTTTTTTCTTAGCAAAAAAAGAGAATAAAAAAATGTATCTATAAGCTTTACGTGATTAAACAATCAAATGTGACCTACACTAAATTCAAACTCACCAAAAGAGGTTTTTTTTTTATTATATAAGTCATGACACGAAGTTGTCTGTATATGAATTCAAGACAATTTCCTTATGGACAGGTACAATTGATTCCATTATTTCGTAAGATTTATAAAAGCCTGGCGTTCAACTTGCCTAAGAAGTAAAACCGAAAAATATAGCGGGTTAATTTAACAAAATGTTAACTAGTTATATGCTTGGTGAGCTTCCTGCATAAATTTTGTAGTTAATTAATAAAAGGCCCTTTAAGAAACTGGTAAAGAACTTAAACATGTGGAAAAAAAAAGCTTATATGAAAAATTGGTTATATATATATATATATATATATATATATATATATATATATATATATATATATATATATATATATGAAATTATTCACACAAAAAACTAATGCAAAGGTTAATGATTTAAATGGCGAGACATCCATCATCGCAAACAATTCAAATAATATACAAAAACCTCCGTATCCGTTATGAATGAAATGATCCTTGTTTATATAAATTTCTGCCGTATTAGTTGTTATTTTTACTACAAGCTTTCGTCTGTTCCTACAGACATCTTCAATGTTTTGAACAATGAAAAATATTGAAAACTTAAAATTTTCAGACACACTGGCTTGTATATTAATACTTTTTTGTTTTATTATTTTAGTTAGGTTTTTATTTTTTACCCTTAAAATTAATTGATTACTGTACATTTATTCTAAGCCACCGATATCTGTCTATATTTCTGAAATGATTTAGCGCAACTATTTACACAATTTACATTGTTGTCCTAATCTTTGTTTTCATATTCTTCGACATTTCGACCGCTGTACGCTCCGTCATTCTTCAGGACCTATCTATATTTTCTGAGATAAGGTATTGTAACTATTTGGACTATTTACATTTTTGGGCTGTTGTCCTTATCTTTATTGCCATATTCACGAGGTTTCGGCCGTTGTACGCTCTCGCCTTCTTCAGGATCTGTGTATATTTCTGCGATCAGATATTGTAACTATTTACACTATTGGCATTGTTCGAACTGTAGTCCTCATTTTTATTACCAATTTCACCCCCTACATTTTTCCTACATTTTCCTCAACTACCTTTCTGATGTCATCCGTCATCAGCTCATTAACTATGTGGATGACGCTTCGATTCACTCCTGTCTTATATAGTAAGTTTGATCAGTCCGCTAATTAGGAGCTAATCTCAAAAATTGTTTGCATTGTTGTTAACTGGGTCAAGAAATGGTTTTATTACTTTTAACGCTTCTAAAAAGAAACTGCTGTCTTTTGATTGTCTGCGAGAACCTTTTTTTTTCTTGACTTCCATCTACATGGCAGAAGAGTGACTAATTACGCTCTCCCGGCGTAACATTTTCAGCTGACATGAAGTGGAAAGATTATCTTGACTCAGTTGCTTGGTCTCCTGCTAGAATAGTTCATTCACTATATCAGACTAGACAATTTTTCTCGCTAGAATCTATCTATCAATTTATAACACATACAAATCATTCGATCGTGAATTGAGAGAATATCAGGTCTGCGCGGGATTTGAATGCATCGGATTCGTCTCTATACCATTTATCCAGATCATGGTGGATTCTGTTACGGTTTTCCTTGTCGGGAATTCTGTTTAAGAAGGCCTCGACTTGCAATTGATTCTTCATCCAGCGTTTGTGCTAGATTCTTTCTCAGACAAGGGCGTGTACCGCTTTTACTGTAACCAGAGACTTGGTTCCAAGACTGAAGGGATGAGACTTTCTGTATCGGTGACAGTTTCCGGTAAAACCTTCCTAATTGTCTCCTTATATTTGTGCATATTGGCTATATAACGATCCTTCAACATCTGTATATATGTCTGAGATGAGTTGTTGTAATTGTTTACGCTATTTACATTGTCCGGACTGTTGTCCTCATCCTTACTGCCATATTCATCTTCAAAATCTGTCCATATTTCAGAGATGGGATATTGTACTATTTACATTGTTTTTATTGTTCTCCTCATCTTTATTGTCATATTCAACGACGTTTTGGCCGTTGTACGCTCTGGTCTGCTTTAGGAGCTGTTCGGGCTACCATGTTCAGGAGCTGTTCGGGGTACCATGTTCAGGAGCTGTTCGGACTACCATATTCATCTTCAAACTCTGCCTATATTTCTGAGATAAGATATTGTAACTATTTGTACTATTTACATTGTTTTGATTGTTGTCCTCATCTTTATTGTCATATTCAACGACGTTTCGGCAGTTGTACGCTCCGGTCTTCTTCAGGACCTGTCTATATTTCAGAGATGTCGTATTGTAACTAATTACACTATTTACATGGTTCGGACTGTTCTTCTTTGTTATTAAAATAATAGTTGCAATTAATTAGTTGTAAGAATTTGCAATTCCTGTCAATCAGTCTTTCCTTCGTAATAGCAATTCCTCGCCTAAAGCAATCCCACATAAAGTATGCAATCCTAGAGCGACTAGATTTGAAACAATTTTTTTCACTTACAAAATAGGAAATGTTGTTTACCAATAAATAGATAAGCGTTTTCATGCTTATCAGATAACTCTGCTATCATTGTTAGATTTCAGTAATAAAATAAACTTGGTTACTTCGTGCAAATTCTTCTGTAAATAACTTAGAACCTAATTTACATTAGACGATAGATATCTCCCCTATCTGTGTTTATCAACATGTGACACCAGGACCGAAATTCTTCGAGCAGTGTTAAAGTAAAGGTTCTTAAGTAATTAACATCGAATTCCGATAAGGGATAATATTGCAACTCGTTCAGTTAATAGATAGCTGCGACACGTAATTTGAACATACATAGAGTTATAATTAAATATGTTGCCATAGGAATGTTTAAATTGCTTCACATTTAAATGTAGAGCTAACATCACTGGATTACACTAAAAATAGTCAGTTCTCTGACTTCTCGTACTCTCCTGAACCTTTACAAGACCTTGATCAGGCCTTGAATGAAGTACTGCTAACATATATTGATAGGAGCTGTCAAGTCCTCACTTTACAGTTTCGATAGAGTCCAAACGCGGCTCCGCGACCTTTTGGGTGACAAATTCTTATCCCCCCCCCAATCTCTTTCCCACAGACAAAACGTCGCAAGGTTTTTGCTGCTTTGTCGCTATTTGCATGGAAAGTGCTCAGAAGAACTACATTTCTTACTTCCACCGATTCTAACCTCCAGGGCTAAGACCCGTCATGCTACACACATTCTAGCGAACCATCCCCATTCCGTTCATATTTATACTAGTGAGAAGTAAGTTCCACCTGAGCAGAGTTTTCCCGCGAACCGTTGCTTTGTGGAACCCACTCCCAAGAGGGTGTTTTCATGATCACTACAATCTTAGCCTTCTCAAGTCTAGAGTTAGCCTTTATCCTACCCACCAGTCCGTATAAACCATGCCACTTAATCTGTAACAGAACGGTCTACTTCGAGTGACCTCCGGCTCTTGTTGAGCCTCCGAATACCACTGGCTAGATCTAAGTTCTCTTTGAGCAACTTTTTATCGAGAACCACTGCTCTTTGGAAAAGACCGCAAATCGTGTGTTTTCCCGATCACTAAAATATTAACCTGTCTAAGTCTTGGGTTAACTGTTATCTACTCCATCTATCAGTATAAACTGCACTTCTTACTCTGCAACCCTCTACCTCGAGTGGCTCTCTGGCTTTTTTCAGGGTGAACATCACTGTAAAATATTCTAAGGGACGCTTACGGCCATATTACTTTAAATCACCGGTTTCGTGTGATCACCGAAGTTAAGCAAGGTCGAACCTGGTAAGTACCTAGGTGGGTGACCGCATGGGAATATCAGGTGCTTTAAGCTTGGATGTGAGAGTCATGTGATGGGTAATAGCTCAGAATTTTTAATCTGAGAGCCCGGATTCAATTCTTGTCATGTTCTCTATATTCACTTACGTGAAAATACTAGTGGAAAGGTATGAATCTACCTCTTTTCCCCAAAATAAAAAAAAAAAATCATGCAATCTAAAAAAAACTTGTTTAAAATAACTTGCAAAACAGAAACAGGACCGGCGTTGCCCTATGGGGAAATGTTTTTTTTAGGTCATTTCACCTTCAAGCAAAACTATAAAACCAAGATGCAATGAATAACTGAGTGGGAAAGAATATGAGTAAAATAAAACATTATAGACAGAGAGAGAGAGAGAGAGAGAGAGAGAATAATAAAAAAAACAGAGTTTAAAAGTACAGAAAATTGATATTTCATTTAAATTTTTAAAGATCAAATTTAACCTGAAAGCCAAAAACCAGCAGAAAAACAACAACAAAAAAGATTTTGTTCCACGTGTCATGTCGAATGGATGTCAGTTGTCAGTTATCTGCTAGTAATTCCCCTCTCAGCCGCCTTAACCAGGTATAGAACTCACCCTCTTTGGGACCTGTCAATAGATCTAATTAACGCTTTATCCCCTGTGCAATCTGTCCTTGAGGACACTAGAACAGTCTAACCCAGTGAAGGAAATAAAGGGTTCAGTTCGACATTGCAATCACCTGTAGAAGGCCGGAGCGTACAACGGCCCAAACGAGAATGTGAATATAAAGATGAGGACAACAGTCTGTACAGTGTAAATAGTTTAAACAATTAGAATACCTCATCTCAGAAATATAGACAGACATTGATGGAATGAATATGGCAACAAAGATGAGGAGAACAGTCCGAACAATGTAAATAATGTAAATAATTACAATATCTCATCTCAGAAATATAGACAGATATTGAAGGAGTGAATATGGCAACAAAGATGAGGACAACAGTCCGAACAATGTAAATAGTGTAAATAATTACAAAACCTCATCTCAGAAATATAGACAGATATTGAAGGAGTGAATATGGCAACAAAGATGAGGACAACAGTCCGAACAATGTAAATAGTGTAAATAATTACAATAATGTAACCTCAGAAATATAGACAGATATTAAAGGAGCGAATATAACGACAAAGATGATGACAATAGTCCGAATAATGTAAATACTGTACATAATACCCCATCTCAGAAATATAGACGAATAAAAACATTCAACGTGCCTGCTAAGAAAATTGCTGAATTCGTCAGAAAATATTGAAACGAACTGCAATCATTCTTGTAGGTATTTCCTTGCGTATCATCATATGAAATGGAACACCATCTAAAACAATAGACTGATTTTACGAACGTCCATTTTGCAATTCCTTTGCGTCTTCAGATTTCTGTGTAATATTTACTTTAATATGTTACTAAACTACCAACATAGCTAAATACAAACAATTGTTTCATTTTGACGTCCCTGATGTGTAATTCGCAACTCCAGTTGTACCTTTTGTTGACTACAATATAGTGTCTTTTGATATGTAATTGCTATTACTTTCTTTTTTTTTTAATTTTTTTAGCTATTTGAAATGAAGTAGACATTTACTCGTTGATAATGTCTATCTATAAGGCAGTCACTAAACAGACATAACTTAGATTCTCTGGAACAGATGTTCATTATAACGATACTTTCAGAAATATTTTATATTGAATTAAGGAATTACTTAGTTTACAGCTGTGCTTCTTGAAGAAAATAAAGCGGAGGTACGTATATATCGATAGCAATAGTCTCTTTTCTGAAGATCGACTCTTTTTCTATAGAGTTGTGGCTTCGAGAAAATCATAGGTTAGACATAATTACTGCATTTCAGAATGATTGTACGACAGTAAAAAAAAAAATTATTATAATATAATTTTGAACGTTTCAGAAAAAAAATGGCGGAGTTTACGCGCGAATTTCTTTTTTTGCTAGGCAGATCAGAGGATCTGCACAGCTAAAACAGAATGCTGTAACTTGAAGCCGTCGAATAATGAAAGAATAAAAACGTAAAAAAGAAACAATTGCATTAGTCTGTTTATTTGTTTGTGGAGGAAAAAAATACTTCATACTTTTCCGTGGACAACCAGCCGACTAGTTCAAATATCGATAGATGGCGAGGTAACGGGTAGTCTGGCGTACTAGTGAAACTTGAACTATTAATTAACTTCTTTCTTAATTGCAAAAGTTAAACATCGAAGCACGTGCAGTGAACGAGTTCTCTGCTTATCCGGTGAAGTGATAGGGAAAAAAGAAACGAACAAACAAACAAAAAAAGAAACAAACAAACAAACGAAGTGCAAGATGTAAGAAACAGAAAAAAGAAAACATTAATTTAATAACATTAACGTAGTCAAACTTTGAGTCAACCACCAGGTTAATTATTTTTTCGCCCCGATCATTATCATCTAAAACACGTAGAAACGAAGTTAAATTTGTCGAGCGACTTCGAAAGAGAGATCTCAGACGTTCCCCAGTTTTGGAGAAACATATTTATTATTGAGAAAATATCTGAATTTGTTTCCAAAAGAAAAGAAAGGACCACTGTTTTCTTTTTTTTATGGGAGTTATGTCTTATTTTTTATTTATTTTTATTTTTTTAAGCGTTTCACCCCAAGCAAGGCGGGAAGCTACTGGGACACAAGAGGTTACAGAAGATTTAGAGCAAGATCAGATAGGAGTGATAGGAGAAAGGATGACGAGAAGGATAGTGGATAGATCAAGGCAACTGGAGATGTCGATTGACATTATATTTGAATAGTTGGAGATTATAGCTCTCAGGGAAACTGGAATACAAAACGGTGTTCCACAGGTGAGAGGTGCGAGACATGAAACTATTGGAGCAGAAGAGACGGCTACATTTAGTAGTTTCGACAGTGAAAAGGTGAGAGCAGGATGCAAGCCTCGTAGGGCGCTTGAACTCATGAAGTCTGGGAACCAGTGAAAGCAGCTCGGCGGAGCAATTACCATGAAAGTATTTGTAGAAAAGACAGAGAGAGGCGACGGCACGTCTGTGAGAAAGTGACTGTAGACGAGATGCCAGATCAGGGCCAATTACATTGCATATCCGCCTCTGGAGCCTATCAAGAACCCCGGGGCAAACAGAAGGGGCTCCAGACCATATATGGCAGCAATACGCCATGCAAGGGCGAATTGTTGATTTGTAGATCTGGAGGATCGATTCTGGGGAGAAAAATTTCCTGGCGCGGCACAGGGAGACAACTTTTATTGTGGACGAAGCAATTGACTCAACGTATTTGTTCCATATACGAACCAGGTTATGTATATTCTGTTGACACAGCGAGAAACGTTGGAAGCAAACTTCCGAAAAATGTTTATCTCATCTAATGAGTTCAACAACCAGCTGCTCCTTAATTTCAGCATTGTCTAGGGGTCAGTCTATATTTATGAGCTTATAGTATTGTAAATATTTACACTAATTACATTGTTCAGATTCTTGTCCTCATCTTTATTGTCACATTAACAACGTTTTGGCTATTGTACACTCAGGGTTTTTCTCAGGATCTGTCTATATTTCTAAGATTATAGTATTATATATATTTTTATTTACATCATTCTAACCGTTGTCCTCATCTTCGTTGCCATATTAACTCCTTCAATATCTGTCTATATTTCCGAGATGAGGTATTTTAATTATTTACGTTGTTCGGACTGTTGTCCTCATCTTTCTTGCCATATTAGCCCCATTAATATTTGTCTATATTTCTGAGAGTACATTATTGTAAATATTTACACTATTTACATTATTCGGACTATTGTCCCCATCTTTGTTGCCATATTCGCTTTCAATATCTGTCTATATTTCTGAGATTAGGTATTTTAATTATTTACACTATTTACATTGTTTGGACTGTTGTCCTCATCTTTGTTGCCATATTTACTCCTTCAATATCTGTCTATATTTCTGAGATGAGGTATTGTAATTATTTACACTATTTACATTGTTCGGACTGTTGTCCCCATCTTTGTTGCCATATTCGCTTTCAATATCTGTCTATATTTCTGAGATGAGGTATTGTAATTATTTACACTATTTACATTGTTCGGACTGATGTCCTCATCTTTGTTGCCATATTTACTCCTTCAATATCTCTCTATATTTCTGAGATGAGGTATTATAATTATTTACGTTGTTCGGACTGTTGTCCTCATCTTTCTTGCCATATAAGCCCCATTAATATTAGTCTATATTTCTGAGAGTACATTATTGTAAATATTTACACTATTTAAATTGTTCGGACTGTTGTCCTCATCTTTCTTGCCATATTAGCCCCATTAATATTTGTCTATATTTCTGAGAGTACATTATTGTAAATATTTACACTATTTACATTGTTCGGACTATTGTCCTCATCTTTGTTACCATATTTACTCCTTCAATATCTCTCTATATTTTTGATATGGGGTATTGTAATTATTCACACTATTTACATTGTTCGAACTGCTGTCCTCATCTTTGTTGCCATATTAACACCTTCAATATCTGTCTATATTTCTGAGATGAGGTATTGTAATTATTTACACTATTTACATTGTTCAGACTGTTGTCCTCATCTTTGTTGCCATATTCACTTCTTCAATATCTGTCTATATTTCTGAGATTATGTATTGTAATTATTTACACTATTTACATTGTTCGGACCGTTGTCCTTATATTTATATTCACATTCAGAATGTTTCAGCCGTTGTACGCTCCAGACTTTTTCAGGATCTGTCTATATTTCTGAGATTATGAAACTGATCATCTTGATTTTTTTAAGATATATCCATAAACCGTGGTATCATCCACATACGCATTAAGAACTGAGGATGAACCTGGGCAGATAGTTAACATTTTTATCATCTTTATTGTCATTAATCACGATGTTTCGTTCGTTGTACGCTCCGGTCTTCTTCAAGAGCTGTCGATTTACATTGTTCGGTCTGTTTTCTTCAACATTATTGTTATATT